CTGCAGCAGGCAAGCCTTGCTGCAGCAGACGAACTTTGCTGCAGCAGGCAAGCCTTGCTGCAGCAGACGAACTTTGCTGCAGCAAGGGAGCTTTCCCGCGCTGCAGCAGACGAACTTTGCTGCAGCAAGGGAGCTTTCCCGCGCTGCAGCAGACGAACTTTGCTGCAGCAGGTGAAGTTTGCTGCTGCCAATGCGGGGCAAATAAAAGTGCATTCAACTTGAATAGTTTGTGGCAGTTCCAGATGCAGGTCCCTCTAGCTGCTGCAGCGGGGTAGCAGGCAGCAGTAGACAGGAGCTAATTAAAGCAAAAGAAGACAATTAAGGCGAAAGGAGACAATTATTTAAATTATTAAAAACAATAAACTGACAATTTCTGACTTTGATTTCAAGAAGCAGATTCAGAGACACAGCGCAGAAGGTGTCTATACACCGCAAGTCCAGCGTTTGCTGCAGCAGCAGCCTTGTGGAGTCTGTGCAGAAAAGTTTCATTTTTGTCCGTTTTTGGGTCTTTTTGTGTCTCTTTTTCACTCTAAACATTTAATTTTATTTCAGAAATGAATATTTGTTGTTATTTAGCGCAAAGTTGTATTTCTTGCTGCAGTTTTCCCGAAAAGAATCCGCACCCGCAGCAGCAGCAGCAGCAGCAGCAGCGCGCTGCTGCTGCTACCCTGCGAAGACGGGGATGAAAGGCGAGAAACTTGAAAAGTTTGCCAAAAAGGGGTTTTTAAAGCAACCCAAGTTTCAAAAAACCGGAAAATAAAGACAAAACAAATAAATTGGAGAAATTTGTCATTAAAAAGCTGCAAAAATGACAAAAAGTTACCCTCGAGGCTCCCTACAGGCAGCAGCAGGCCTAGAAAGCCCCAAAATAGTCTATTTTAAACCCTTTTTTCTCTCTTTTAGAATTCCCCAGCAGCAAGCACCAGCAAATGTTCATCAGCAGCAATCTGCAGCAAAAAACGGGCTGGCGGCACTTTGCAGCAAAGTGTGGGGCCCCAGGGGCCCCCGGGGGTACTGGCGCTGCCGCGGGGCCCCCGTGGGGCCCCCGCGGGGGCCCCTGCAGCGGCGGGCCCCGTGTCCTGGGTCTTTTGAAGCCCCGAAAGCGGCAATTGGGTTAAATTTTGAATTTTAAATTAAAAATTTGAGAGATTTGCCTTCAAAGTGCGCGGCTAGCTGCCCGAGGAGGCTCGGGTTTCCCCGGCGAGCTGAAGCTGACGGGCTGCGTTGCTGCCAGCGCCGCCGCCCCAATGGCCCGGAAACTGAACTTTTCTTCTCCCGAATTTGTGCGAAATATTTCAATTCTTGCACATGTAGACCACGGTGAGCACTGGGGAGTCGGGGGGAAAGTTGAATCTCAAACTTGAATTCCAGACCCCGAAATCAGTACAACTTCGGGGCTTCGCCGGCTCCCTCGCCTCTTTTTTCCTGCTTTTAAGTCCCAATTAACTCCATTTCTTTTTTGTTTTCCAATTCTTTCGCAAGTATTTCCTCAGTGGTCGCATTAATAGGTCTTTCGCCGCGGCTTGGTGGGCCCCCCGCTCTGAACCCCCCAGCTCTCGGGGTATTTCCCGAAAAAAAAGATACTTTTGCATCTAAAAAAGGCCATTTTGGGGTTTTTTTGAGGGTTTAGGTCTCGGGTTTTTCGAATTAACAACTTCTAATGAACTGGCGTTAAGAATCCTTTAAAAAGATCCATTTAAACTCTCTTTTTATTCTCACTTTGGGGCCCCACAGGCCTTGCTGAGTGGCCCAGCTGTGTATCTCGTGGCTTTTGAAACAGTCTTTACTTGTGGCTCTTTGGGGCTTTCTTTGTAGGGCTTTTCCCTTTTGCATGCACTTTAGCCCACCGGCTCGAGGGCCTCCAAAGGCCCCCCTTTGGGGCCCCCTGGGGGCCCCCTGAGGGCCCCGTGGGGCCCCCTGGGGGCCCCCTGGGGGCCCCGTGGGGACCCCCTGGGGCCCCTTTGGGGCCCCTTTGGGGCCCCTTTGGGGTCTTAAAAGGGTCTTCTTGGACCGCCGTTTCAAAACACCAAAAGGGGCCCCTAATGCATCACAAGGGGGCCGCCAGGGCCCCCTCGTGGGGCCCCCTAGGGTGCTGCGCTGGGGGCCCCTGGGGGCCCCTCCTCGGAGCCCCTAGGGCGGTACCCTGGGGGCCTCTAGGGGCCCCTTTTGGGGCCCCTAGGGCGGTACCCTGGGGGCCTCTAGGGGCCCCTCTTGGGGCCCCTAGGGGCCCCCTTGAGGCCCCTTGAAGCCCCAGTGGCTGTGCTAAGCATTCAGAATTAGCATTTCTGGGATTTATTGGTTTAAATGGTATTTAGAGTTTTGTTTGTTTCGGATTTGTTTGAATTGTCTGTTCAGGAAAGACTTCTCTGTCGGACTGCCTGTTGGCCACAAATGGCTTCATCACTGAGGCCTCTGCTGCCAAACTTCGCTTTTTGGACTCAAGACAAGATGAACAAAATCGCCAAATTACAATCAAAGCAAGTGTAGTTTCTTTGCTTTACCAAAGACGCCCACAGGGCCCCCTCAGAAGTCCCCAAACTTCCCAAAACCCCACAGCAGATTCCCAACTCCCCCACGCTTCGGGGGCCCCTGGGGGGCCCCCTGGGGGGCCCCCTGGGGGGCCCCCAGGGGGGCCCTCAGGGGGGCCCCCAGGGGGGCCCCCGGGGGTGACCCCCGGGGGGCCCCCGGGAGTAACCCCCGGGGGGGCCCTCGGGGGGCCCTCGGGGGGGCCCCCAGGGGGGGGCCCACGGGGGGCCCCCGGGGGGGCCCCCAAGGAGCGCGGCAGGGGGGCCCCCACGAGCTCGCCGTATATGATAAATTTGATAGACTGTCCTGGGCATGTGGACTTTGCGTCGGAGGTAAATGGAGAAAAGTAGAAGCAAATAAGTGAATGAATGAGAAAAGAGTTGTTTTGAGTTTATTTCCTTTTTTGTTTTTCTTTTTTTTATTTTCTTTTTTCGCTTTTGTCCATTTCAAAAGCCAGTTGGTGGCGCTGGCTTTCCACAGAGATGTGGCAGACAGGCGAAAGTGGAAAAAGTGAAAGTTCAAAAATGTCAAATAAAACTATTTTTCATTTCTGCATTCATAATATGTTTTCTTTTTGACTTATTTATCCTCTCTATTTTCTCTTTTTGTCGCGAACTATTCATGAAACGCATGCGAATCTGGGCAAAGAAAAATTCAACGAAGGCATTTGAGCAAGTTATTTCAGAAACCCCGCGACACTTTGCTAATTCATGTTGCATGCATTCAATAAAAAGCTAAAAAGTCCCCAAAATTCGCCAAAGATCTTTGCTTTCTTGCGGACTTCTTTGTTGAATTTTTGTTGAACAGGTTCACGCGGGCGTGCGGCTTTCGGACGGCTGTTTGCTGCTGGTGGATTCTGTAGAAGGAATTTATCCTCAAACACTTTCTGCTTTGTCTTGTGCTTTGAAAGAAAACATTTTGCCTCTTTTGATCTTCACAAAAGTGGACAAACTGATCAGCAAACTCCAGCTGTCGCCCAAGGATGCCTACGCCAAATTTCAAGACATGCTGGAACAAGTAAAGCTGCAGTTCACCCCGTCGAAGTTACTGAATGTTTCGAAAAGATCTAGACCAATGCATTTATTTGTTTTAGTTTTTATATGTTTTAGAAACAAATGCAAACGCATGCATGCAATTGTAGCTGTGATTCTATGCATGCATTAGTGTTTCTGGGTCTGTGTGCCTTCGCATACAAAGTATGTGTATTCGTAGCCACACAAAGCATGAGGCGAAACTTTCCTGTGTGCACCACTGCATGCATTTAAATGTTTATAAAAGCGCATGCAGATGGAAGAATAATATTGTTGGCATTTGTCTAGATGTGGATATTGCATGGATGCTGCGTAGGCTCGTTTTGACAAGTGCATGCAGTCAAACTGGACGCGTTCATAAGCAAACAGTGAACTATTTGCTTTTCTTTTGTCTTTATTTTTGTCTGAATTGACATTTTGTTTCTTTTCCTGCGCTGCTGCCTCTCAGCTAAATGCGCGTCTTCACCAGCATATTTGTGCAGAAGCTTTTCTTGCGGAAGGAGAGGCAGCATTGCCCGTGGCAGCCTCGGGGGGCCGGCCGAGCAGCACAGCAGCAGCAGCAGCAGCAGCAGCAGCAAAGGTGCAGTTTCTGGGCCCCCTCGGGGACCCTTCAGGAGAATTCGTTTATTTCGATGGAGACTCCGCAAATAAACTCGAATTCTCTCCCTCAAGAGGTCAGTTGGGAAGAGAACAACACAGGTTACTGCAGCACAAAGAGTTGCCGAAAGATTCTGATTTCCGGCCTTCAGTGAGGCCCCACGGGAAACTTTGGAAGATAAACTTGAAAAGGCCTTTTAAGTAGTGCATTTGCATGCACTACTTAAAAGGCCTTTTATGCAGTGCATTTGGAGTTTGCTGTTGCAACTGATGCATCTTCATCATTGCAATTAGTTGCTTTCTCATGTTGAGCCGAGTTAAGTGTTCATTTTCTCGTTTGAAAACGTATTTTTGTTTGTATTGCGTTATTTACAAGTTGCGAGCGCATGCAAACTTGGAAAAGTATGCATGTCCGCGCCCAAGGTTATGCATTCACCTTTTCTGGCGTGAAACTGAATGCATTTCTGTGCAATCAAAAGTCCATTTTTGCAAATTCGCTCATTTGTGATTGATTTATTTCTCGCTTTTTTTAGGTAATGTGTTGTTTGCGTCGGCTCTCCACGGCTGGTGCTTCTCCATTCCATCATTCGTCAGCAAGACCCTTCTGTCTCAGCTGGGTCTGCCGGCTTCTTCTTTTTCGAAGCTCTGCAGCGCCTTGTGGGGCGACAAATACATTCGAAGACGCAAACCTAAGCAGCAAACAGCAAATGAAGACGGGCCAGCTGCTGCTGCCCTCCCTGACATCGAAGTCAGATCCTCTCCCTTCACCTCTGGGCAGCAGCGCATGGCGGAGCAGCTTTTGTTTGAGCCGATTTGGAAACTTTACAAAGTTGCTGCTGGTGGAGCTTCATCAGAAACGAATTTCAAAGAGAAGACTCAGAGCAACCCAGAGGAGGACGACAGGCTGGCTCGTCTTTGCGGAATGGCTCGGAATCTGAGCTTAGAGGGAGTCGAAGAACTCGAAAAGGAACTTCGCCGCATTTTGTCTGCAACGAGGCAGCAAAGAGCAGCTGAAAAAAGCAAAATTAAAGAAGAAATGGTCGGAGATATCGTGGCAGCCTTCATGGCGCGGTGGCTGCCCATAGGCGAAACCTTACTTGTGAGCCACAGCGCAGGCGCTCTTGAGCTTATTAAACTCAAGACTTGTGCTGCTGCAGAGTAGTCTATTTGATTGAAATTTGTGATCAAGACTGAACTCGTGCACATCAAGAAGAGCCAGAGTGCCAACATGTGCATTTTTATGCACTCATGTTTCAATTTTATGCAATAGCCAGACCATTTGCTGCTTTGCTGTGCTGCGTAATATGCCTATGCAAATGGCTTGCTTGTGTAGCTAGCCAGGCAGCTAGCACTGCAGCAGCTTCTGCGTCGTTGCTGCTGCTGGCCTCATTTTATTTTTCATTTCTTGCATGTCTACTGCTTCGTTGGCGCATAGGCACCGCCATTTCCATCTTTGTTATGTTTTCTCATTTCGTTCTTTCTCTTTCTCGCCGCGTTTCTGCGCCTTCTTAGGAAACAATAGTTCTAAGAGTACCTAATCCAGTGGCAGCGGCTTTTCAGCGCCTTCACCGCCTCTGCCCCTCTCTGGATCTTTCCTGCATGCAAAAGGCTTCTGGAAAGCCTCATCAGGAGGTTTCTAGAGAAGAAAGTCTTCAGGGAATTCCCCAGGGGGGTTCCCAGTGTACGACACGGGGAAGCCTCCCCGGGGGAACCCCCAAGGAAGACCTTTTGCTGGTTTATGTGGCGAAGTTCTTGGCTGCGGACATTTCAAGTTTACGACTAACGGGCGACACGCTACAGGGTACTGGATACTTGTGAATAAATTGATTCACTTGCTTCAAACTGTTTTTCTTGCGGCCTGCAAACAACTGTGGGCGTCGAATTCAGCTTTTTTTTGATCATGCGTATACAGATAGCCCATTATCAAGTCACATCTACTTTGCTATTTGTGTTCGACAGTCGCTTTACGATGAATGCCATGAAGTGCCTATTTTGGGATCGTCGTTGGAAACATCAGCCACCGTCTTTTTCTGCACTTCATTTCAAATTGAGTTACTTCTAAGCTTTTTGAGTCACCCGCACTAGCTCTTTGTGTATTCTTCTCTCTCGTGCTTCAGTGTTTTTGTGATCTTCGCTTAATTCATGTTCATCTTTTTCGTGTTTCACATTTTTCACGTTTCCACTTTCTGCCCTTTTGTTTGCCCTGCCCTGTGTCCCGCAGGCCTCGAGGCAATTACTGGTTTCGTTGGCCTTAGTCGGATATTTCTAGGCCGCCTAGAGTGCGGAATGACTCTTTTCGTTTGTTCAGAAACACAAGACCCAAGGGGTGGTGTTCCCTCTCTGTCCTCCGCAGGGAGCTCTGGGGGAAACTCCTCGAGTGTTTCCGCGCAGCGCAAACTGAATCAGCAGCAGTATGTTGTAGAGGGAATTTATCTTCTATTTGGCCAAGACCTCCGGCCCGTCAAGGAGGCCACAGCAGGCTCTGTAGTGGCGCTTTCTCTGGTGCCCGCGGGGGCCCCCAAAGAGGCAGCCTCGGGGGCCCCCCAGGGGGCCTTCAAAGATGTTGTGAGGGATGTGACCAGCTGGATTCAGGGTTTGCGGGCATCAGGAGGCTGCCTTATGCAGACAGAAAACCCTTGTCGGTACACTGATGAGTTGGATATACACCGCAGGGGTCCCCTAGCCATGGAAGGAGCTCTCAGGTGCTCGACCCTTAGCAATGACCCCTCTTGCCCTTCTCTTGTTTCCCCATATTCGAAGGTCTGTGACGCCAGATGTTGCTGCTGCCGCTGCACAAGTCCAGCTGCAGCTGCTGCTGCCAGTGCTTCCCTGCTGCTGCCGCCAGTTCTGGTGTGGTGCTGCTGCTGCAGTCACTGTCAGTATGAGTGCGGTTCCTGCTGCTGCACGTGATTCTGCTGCCATTCTTGGTGGCGCCGCTATTAGAATTAGTGCGGTTGCTGCTGCTGCACGTGATTGTGCTGCTGTTGCTCGTGCTGGTAGCTGTGGCTCTGCTGCTGCTACTACTGTGTCGCAGGCGTCGTCTGCAATAGTGCGTGTTGCTGTTGAGTCGGAGAATTTGGAGGACTCTCAGCAGTTTTTGTTGGGAGTGGCTCAGCTCTTTCTTGCAGACCCTTCTTTAGAAGTAGGTTTTGAACTTTATGCGCAAAGTCGCAAATCCGAAACCGCTTTCCCGTTTTGCTTGCCGAATTCCATACCATCTTCGTCTTGGGCCATCCCCCTGCATGCCTCTGCATGCATCTGCTTTTTTTTGTTTATTTTTTTGTATTTTTGTGCGTTTTTCGTTAGTTGTCAGTATTGGACAGCGGAGAGTTGCTGCTGGGCTGCTGCGGCGAAGTCCACTTAGAAACGTCTTTGAAAGACTTAGAGGTGCTGTACGCCCGAGTGCCTATAAGAGGTAAGTGAGCTGTTGGACTTTTTGGCTGAATTTAATTTGTGCCACTCGGAGAGTTTTTAATGTTTATTCAACAGCTCAGATTCACTTAGTGGGAAATATGTACTTAGCTCTGAAGCGCTGAGAGGCTGCGCTGCCTCAAAGGTGATCATGTTAGAATCCCAAATCATTTTATCTTACAACATCTTATCAGCATCACACCTCTAGAGTAGAACAGCAAATAGTACAAACGAATTGAACAGCAAATAGTACAAACGAATCATATACTTTGATAGTAAATAATGATGATGAATAGTAGAAAGCCAAGTTCCAAAAACGTTTGTGACAGTAGGCGCTGCGAAGAGGTGATCCATACAGTGCAATGGCTCATACAGTTCGTTCTTAGATGTGCAGCAAAATGGGCTGTATGCGTGTGAACTCATGAGCTTTAGTCTGACTTTGGCGCTGTTGCTGCCTCAGTTGCTGCTGTTGCTGCTGCTGCTGCCTCGGTTGCGGCTTGCCGGCTCGCTGCTGCAGCAGCTGCGTTTACGTCTGGGGCTGCTGTTTGTTCAGTTTCCCCTCCAATGACAGCAATAAGAGAAACTTTGGCATTTCCATCAGAAGCAGAGGGAGCTGACTCAGGGGCTCTTTCTTTATCTTTTTCGCGCCGCGTACCTTTCCCGCCATGGGTGCCTGTTTGGCGAGACGGGGGGGATAGTGCAGCAGCAGCAGCAGCAGCAACAACAGCATTGGCAGCGGATGCAGCAGAAGCCGCAGAAGCAGCAGATGCATCTGCAGCAGGTGCTGCTGTGGCAGCAGAAGACAAATTTGCTGCCTGGCTAAAAGCCCACCGCAGCAGCAATTCCGTCTGCATAGGAGGTACCCCGGACAGCCCCATCACAATTGTCTTGAAGGCGCAGCGCATGCCAGATAGGGGTAAGGCGAAACCATGAAGTTGAATACAACAGAACAAAGACTTGGGACCCCTAGTGGGGGCCCCTAGTGGGGGCCCCTAGTGGGGGCCCTTGTGGGGCCCCCACGTGCCAGCTTGTTCCTTCAGAGGCTTCCCTTTAAGGCTACATGGGAGTTTTGAAAAAGCCAACAAAACCTCCTGGGGCCTTTTGTGACAGGATTGACAGTGATGAAGAATGGGGGCTTAGTTGAAATTTAGATCTTGTTTGACAGGCCCTAAGAAAGCCCCGAGCAGTTGCGCTGTCTTGGCTTCTCTTTACATTTCGTCTTCTTTGCATTCACATGCCAAGTCTTCTGTTTTATCTGTTTGTGTTTTTTTCCACTTTTTGTGACATTTATTCCTCTGCCCGCTCCTTGTCTCGATTTCTTTGCAGTGACAGACTGGCTGACAGACAACACAACCGACATTTTGCGAGTTTTGAAAAGTCGGATTCCTTCAGCGCGTTTCCTTCGGGCTCAGGATTCCCAAGAGAACCTGCAGGGGGCCCCAGAAGCCAGCGTGGCTGCTTTGGAGTCATGTGCTGTTGAAATTGAGGCGCAGTTAAACAGAATCTGGACTGAAGAAGATCAAGAGGAAAGGACTGCGGCCAAAGGGAGGGCTGGGGGGCCCCTTGAGGGGACCCCTGGTAGGCTGTGGGGCCTGACTTTAAGCGGGGGGGCCACCACGGCGCTTTTCTCAGCTAGTAATATGAGTGTTTTATTCAAAGAAACATCTCCAATTGATGGAGATCAAGAGGTTTCAGCTGGAGGTCCTCAGAAGTGGCAGCAAGAGGCCCCGGCGGTGCAGCAGGGCGGCGAGGGGGTCCCACTGGGATGGATTTCCGCAGAGTGCGAGGGCGCTATGACTCTTGGTGCTGCAAGAAACATTTCAGGTGAAACTGGGATTTATAAAAATTTGTGTAAAGAGATGGAAATCAATGAATGCTGCAAGGGTTTGCATTCAAGGGCTCCTCTGTTTCAAATTTGCAAAAGAATTGTGGTGTTCAGTTCATTTGACGGCTTTGTTGTGCACTATGCTGCGGTATACACACACCATTCAATGCCTTTTGCTCATAAATGGAATGCGCTCTCACATTTTTGAAGCTGCAGCGGCATTTGCAACAGCTTGTGGCGTTGCTGCTGCTGCTGCTGCAGCAGCAGCAACACGTGCACCGTGTCGTGGCTTTGCATACAGCTGGTTTCTCGAAGCTCGCACTTATGTTTATTCGCAGCGCGTTTTATTCTCTAAGTTCATGTTTTTACTACTTATCTTTTATTTTTGAATTTTTTCAGGTTCTTTGTCTGCACAACTCAGTCGTTTGCTGCCGGCGGTCCTCTCTGGTTTTCAGTTGGGCTCACTTGCAGGGCCCCTTGCGGAAGAACCCATTAGGTAGGCATTTGATTCTAATAAATGCAGTCTTTTCTCTAACAAATGCAATCTTTTAAGTAAAAGGCAGCTGCAATCAAGCATTGTTGGTCCTTAGTTTGAAGGAAGTAGACCCGCAGCAGCTAACACAATCACACATGGAAAGAAAGGCTACGTATTTGCTTGCTAGTGCATGCACGTGTACATGGATGCACGAATAAAGTGACAGTATAAGAGCATGCAAGTATGCAGAAAAGTGCATAAATGTATAATATTAAATATTACATATGTATGTGCATATGTACTTATATGCAAGCGAGGCTGTGCAAGTCATTTCATGCACGAAAACGCGCCAACCTCCAGCATGTACACTTGCTTCCCCAACTGGGCAAGACTATGAAAATCAGTAATATGGGAAGACTTACATGAGCATGTCTAAAGTGGGCGCATGTAAAGAAGCGCACATATCCGTTTACACCCACTTACGCGTATGCACACTTGTGCGCAATTATTTACGTGTACGAAGCAATCCCGAAGACATGCATGCATGCGCGTAGCCACGCACAGTGTGCTGTTGTGCTGCCAGGGGTGTAGCCTTCACAGTTGAGGCCCTCGCATTCGGGGAGGGCTTTTTGGGGGCCTCGCGGCGGGGTCCCCAGAACGCGCCTGCTGCTTCAGCAGCAGGAACAGCAGACCCAGCAGCAGCAGCTGCTGCTGCATCTGTTGCAGCGGCAGCAGCGGCAGCTGACGAAGCCGCGAGTGTTTGTTCACGGGAGTCGAAATTGACCGGCAAACAAACAACAACTGGTCCTTTGTCTGTCCATTCTTATGTCGGCTCAGGACAGGTGAGACTGAGGTGTGCAGAAGCCCTAGTGGGGAGGTATCACATATTTGCTTCATTGCATCCTACTATTGTTGCTGCAGTTTTGCCTCACCATTACTATTACTGCGTTTTGTATTTCACTGCTCTATTTTTCTAATTTTAAGCCGTTCCCTAGGTGCCACCACATGCAAAGATAGGCATTAGGCAACTTGCCACATTTGCACCAGTTACACCACATTGAGCGAGTCTATTAGAAGGACTACCCAACCTCTGAAGTATATATGTTTAGATTATTATTTAAAGGCCCAACGCTTTTACTCTTAAAGCGCTCATCGTGCATCTCCCAGGCCCCCAACTTCTTAATAGTTTAGGCTGTAGAGCCTGCTCTGTACTGTAGTCCGGCAAATTGAAACCTTTAGATTCAAGTTCTTGAAATCGCCTCGCCTTATGTCATTTGGAGCACCTCTGTTTTTCGGCTACGATTATTAGCATTGCATGCATATTTCTCAAGGGCTTCTGACTTCACGAGTGGTCTTCTGAGTTGTGGTTTGTCTGAATAAGTAATACCCATGTGCGGATCGCACGCTTGATTGCGTAGTTTCTGCAGACTCTAATCGACACATTGTTTTTCCACTTGCCTAAGATCGTCCCTTGCGCTTTTTGTGTGTCCTTGAATTTGCATTCTTGGTCTTTTACTTCGGCCAAGGCTAAGCAAGCAGGGAATGCCCAGCCCTCATGTTCTGACTGAGCTGTACTTAGACGTGGATGCGTGTACACTGCAATTTCAGGTCATTTCTGCAATGAAGGAGGCGTGCAGGGCCGCAATGCTTCAACGAGGACTCTGCAGAATATATGAGGCAATGCTGAGATTTAGTAGGCGCTACACTCTGTGCTCCCTTTGAAGTCTTAAATCCAGAAACTCCGTGAAGCTCCTGAGCAAATCTTTGTTGTCAATTTTTCTGATGATTGGAGTACATGAGTTACAGTATAGGGCTCCAACATACGCGCATGTGAAAAATTGCCACTTACTGGTAGTCCCTGTGTATGCGGTCCGAATGAGCGAAAGTATCTGCTTGTTTTCTTCTTTTCTTGCTTTTAATAAGTTGCTTTCCTTCAATATGAAAATAATGATGCGTTTATTCATTTGTTTGTGCATCGACACGATACAGCATTGAGTTGCGACCAGCGGGTGATAGGCAAAGCCTATTCTGTCCTGGCGAGGCGCAGAGGGAAAATAATCAAAGAGGAAGTGCCGGAAGGCCAAACATCATTTGTCGTCTTTGGGTTTTTACCAACAGCGGAAGCCCCGGGAATAAGTCAGGAAATAAGGCAAGAGCTTACGAAACATAACACAACATAAGCGCTAGCTTAGCAAGGTTGAAAACAGCTTAATCGTTGACAGCAGGAAAAAATCTTGAACCTGGAATGACTGATGGCTTCTAAAGCTTTTGCCTGTAAACGTAACTCGATGAGTGCCAAAAGGATTTTCATTCGTAATGCACCCTCGCCAGAGCATAAAAACAAATTCTACGTTGTGCTCATGGTTCACCGGCATCTGCTTGCACTGCAGGATTCATGTATGACTTTGCGGCTATATTTGGGCAATATTGCACCACGTTGCAGTTATATTGTACTGAGATTTTTGTAGCATCCACATTTACATTGGGTCCACTTTTTGTCCAGGTCTAAGGCATCAGGCCACGCCTCTCTACAGTTGCAGTTTTCCCACTGGGAAGTACTTCAAGAGGAGCCTTTCCCGGAGGCCTGCATGACTGAGCAGGTACGTAGAGCTCAGAACTTTAACTGTTCGACCTGAACTTAGAGCTCAAGACTTATTTAGGTTTCGCCGTCCGACTTCAAAGAGTGAAAGCCTTCAGTTTGACTCTGAGGGTACAGGCTGGATGCCTGTGAGGGCAAGAGGCGTCCTTCTGTTTTGCAGTCAGTTCAGAGTTTAGGGTTTAGGACTTATTTGATTTGGGCAAAACCATTTGCATGCGTTTGCGAAGAGTATTTGCGTGCTGTCTTACATTCAGGAACTCGAAGACGAAGGGGAAGCGGCTTTGTCTTCTTTGGCAACCCAGATTCATGCAAGAGCTATCATCAATTCCATCAGGAAAAGCAAAGTAATTGGCACTAAGCTCTGAGCGTTCATTCTTAGCCACTAAACGCAATATTTTAAGGATCGAGTACACCTCTCCAGCAAACCCTGTATTCTATATAGGGGCCTTCACAATTAATTAATCCGGGAATTTCAAATGCGGCATTGTGAAATCAGACCGTGACCTCGGATGCTGAGTGTTTGGCTCAGACCTCACAACACTAAAGTATAGATACGTGAGTTCTCAGGTGTTTGGTTTGTTTTGTGTTTGTCTGGGCTTTCCGCAGGGTCTTCCCACTGAAGAAAAGGTGGTCAATGATGCTGAAAAGCAGAGGACTCTATCTCGAAAAAAATGAAAACAATAGACACAGCGAAGAGAGATGCCGTGTTTTATTTCTTCACACCGTTTTGTGTGCACATGGCTCGCCAGACGTTTTTTTTATTTCCTGTTTTAATGGAGATACACTTACTTTTCTTTAGTTCCTGTTTTAATGGAGATACACTTACTGGCGCCGCGTGTTGTTGGAGTCCTCACAAACTCAGAGTAATGAAATAGAGCGCGAGCAGACGACACGGAAATGTAGACAATAAAGAACACAAATGCGCGCAAGCAGATGCAAAGCGAACCAATAGTGGTCTGCTTTTATTTTTAATTGATATTAATTGCAAGTTACTTGCACAGACCCGAAATATGCTGTCAGTGGTGCACTAGTGCTGTATTTGTGTCTAATTTAGGGTATTAGGGTTGAAGTCCGTACGCATATGTATCTAAATGTACCGGCATATTTATTTGCACAGTTTGAATTGCTCATGTATTTAGTTGAAGTCATGTTTCGTCTGCAGCATGCAGATATAATATGGAGTGAAGTTTCACTACTCCTATGCGGATGCTGCTTCTGCAAGGAGAGCAGCGCTACGTTATTTCCTACAAGTTAGTATGCACGAACACAAGAGTAAATGTGAAAACATGTCCGAGAGAAGAAGAAAAAATGCATGCACAGAACGCAAACATGGTGATGCATCTACAGCCAAAAGTGCATGCACAGTAGACAAGAAATGCACGAGCCCCTGAACATGAATATTCATGAATATTAATGCAGCCTAGAGAAAATCTATAATAGCCAAAACCCAGTTCCACAAGGCTCGGAAGCTGAGAAGCAAACAAGCACTTAGTAAGAAATCGAAATCCTGTACAACGAAGCAGCAGCAGCAGTTGCTGCAGTTGCCGCTGCAGCACGCAGACGGCCTGGCAAATTCGCTATGGTGGGGCACGCAGCAAGGAAGCTTTTGCTGCAGCAGCTGCTGTTGCAGCTGCTGCCGCTAAGCTGGTGCCGCTGCAGCTTTTGCTGCAGCAGCTGCTGCTGCAGCTGCTGCCGCTAAGCTGGTGCCGCTGCAGCTGGTGCTGCTGCAGCTGTTTCTGCTGCTGCACCTGCTGCGGCTGCGACGGAGCAGCTGCCTCCGCTGCTGCTGCTAAGACGAGAAAACCTTGCAAGGCAAGAGAAACCAGCAAAGGGGAACTTGCATGCATGCAGTGACTGCAATAACGTAAGAGGCACAAGAGCCCCGCGCAGTGCCCCCCTGCAGGTAAGCTGCTCTGGCTTCCTTGCCAGCAGCGTCGGACCGCTTGAGCAAAACAAAGAGTTCTGCTGCAGCGCAGCACGAAAGGTAGACAAAAAAGCAAATGAACACGAGAGGCCGGCTGTTTGCTGCTGCTGCTGCTGCTGCTGCTGCTGCAGCTGCGGGCTCCCCTGAAGCGAACTCGTCCGCAGCAACGGCAGCTGCGGGGGCTCTCGAGGCTGCCAGCGCGTCCAGCAAAATGCGCAGCAGCAGCAGCAGCGCAACATTGACATATTTGTAGCCGCAGAAGCACAGCAAGTCTGCTGCTGCAGCAGAAGCAGCCCCCGTTATGTACAGCACGAGCTTCAGCAGCCCCACTTCGCCCAGCAGCAGACACAGCGCGAGAGAGAAAGTCGAACCCAGAAGCTCCGGGTAGAAAGTTCCTTGTGTTCCCGTTTGAATGCCGACGAGAAGAACAAAAGTGGTGAGAGCCATGAGCGGGATGTACAGGTCGCGTTCAGGTGTACAGACAGCTGCGGCGCCGCTGCTGATGTCCGAAGAAGCAGCCACTGCCATTCTCGAAGAAGAGCCTTTCATGAAAAGAGCTCTGAAGGGAAACAGCAGCTGCCCCAGCCGCAGACGCACGTAGCTCTGGCTCACGCTGAAGTACGGCCGCAAAGACAGCAAAAACGAAGGAAACTGCTGCTGCAGCATGGACACGTGCTTCTCCGCCTGCACTGTCAGGTTGTCCGCCACGGAGTGCAGCACCATGTTCATCACTTGCTGCTCAGCGCTGGGGCCCCCCGAGCCCATCTGCGGGGCCCCCTGCTCAGTTGGGGGCGCGTCCGAACGAGGGGGGGCCCCCTGTCCAAAGGGGGAGCTCCAGACGCCGCCCGCGTGGGCCGCAGAAGAGTTGAAGGGGGGGCCCCCGGGGGCCCCCACGGAAGGGGGCCCACCCATGGGGGCCCCGTAGGCGGGGCCCCCAAAAGACCCTCGGTGGCGGTAGTCAGCGCCTCGGGCTGGAGTTGGCGCCCAAGAGGTGGCAGGATCCCCTTGGGGGCCCTCTGCAGCAGAAGGAGGGGCCCCTCCCCCCATGCTGGCGGAGCCAACGGAAGACAGCGGACGCATCGGCACTGCAGGGGGCCGAGAGCCGTAAGGGGCCCTTTCCCCAATGGGGTGGCCCCCCCTCGGGTAGAGATCCATTAGTTTCTGGGAAAGACTGGGAAGGCTTCTACTTGCTGGTGCCTGTAGGCTGGGGTCACGGTGCTAGACGCTGCTGCAGTGGCGAGGCGTGCAGCCCGGCATGCCTGCACTCGTTGGCCGGACTAAAAGAAAAGGAAAAAGTCAATCGAAACTCGAAAAAACAGAAAGAAATAGTCTAGAGGCATGCGCCGCGAGAAACGGTCACGCAAGCGCCTCTACTACCGAAACGTACAGCGGCGGTGCGGCGGCGACAGCGCGGTTTCAGGGAAATGTGGAGCCTTTTCAGAAACTGAAAAATCCATTCCTCCTCAAAATTGAAGAAATCACCATTGTTGTCTCAAGGTTTCCGCTGTCTCGCTGCTGTTTACTGCAGTGAGAACAATAGAATGAACGGCAGGCAGCCCCAAACACAAACCATCATCAGCCCCGTGCAGACCGGAGCGTTTGTCGCCTGCTTAAGAGAGAGAAAAGCAAAGTTATTTTACCGCAGCTTCTAGAATATTCATTAATCCCGCTTTCCATATGCCCTTTCACCAACACAGCTGCTGAGCTTAACTCTCAGCATCTCCACATCCGGGAAGAAACTGGTTTCAGATGGTCCTCGAAGCTGGCTTCTCCCATTCAACAAAGCTCCACTAGTTACTACACCAGCTGAAGAAGCCCTCGGTGATGATCTTTCATAAGCCTTTGGAAGCAGCACCGGCGCTGCGCAGCTTCTGAAAGCTTCCAAGAAGAAATTCAAGTTGAGAGCCCTCCCACACCATTCACCGCAGCACCATGCTCGCGGACGCGCGGCCTGCGGGGAAGCTCCGGGCAGGCCGGTGGCCCCGCGCAACGAATCAGCAGACAGAAAGCTGGGTCAGTAGGATGTTGCAGGCAGTCAGTGAGCGCAACGGGGAAGCCTTTTCGGAGCTGATCCGCCACTTGGATTCCATCATTCCCGACGAGGAAATTGCAAATATGCCGGAGGTGAGATTACCAATTGCTAGTTAGTGCTTTTAAACCGGTGCATGGCGCTGAATAGTTGAAAGGGCTCACGCCGAAGCAAAGAGGCGCGCATTGATGCCAACCCGCAAACACTGTGATCGCCAAAGTAGGGGCATATTATTCTCGACTGCTCTTTTTATTGCTGCATTTGTTTTTATGGGAACACATAGTTTTGTTCGCTGGTCTGCTGTTTGTGCATGTGTGAATAACTGCTTGTATGTGGCTGTTTTTGCACCTCTCTGGACACGCACGCATATGATCTGTCTCGGCGAGTGCCGTGTAGGCAGTGTTCTTGCATAGAAATGAAATTAGAACCGAAAACTAATACTTATTTGCACTCGTGGGTCTGTGAGTGTCTAGGTAAATGCGCACTCGTAGATATGTAGGCAAAGATTCACAACCCCACAGCAGCACTTGCCCACCCAAAAGACTCAGGAGCACGCGCAGTGGCTCGGACATTGGAAAGCCAAGAAGGCTTTTTCCAGCAAATTATCTTTTGTAAATGTTGCTTCCTGCCTGCCGCAGACAGTGATGACTGCCATAGTGAACACCAAGCTGAAGGAGGCTTCTCTCCCGAAGGCTGCAGACACTGCGTTTAAGCGCCTGTTTTTTTCCTTTCTGAAGCTAAGGCAGTTGCGGTGCACATTGAGGTGGGGAGATGTAGTGCGGCAGTGCATATCTGTGCTAGATCTGTACGTGGACTTGTACGTGGGGGCCCCCGCGGCCAGCTGCTCCTGGCTGGTGCCTGGGCTGGCTGCGCTGTGCACGATAATGAGCCGCGCGGCGTTTGCTGCGGACAGCAGCAGCGAGGACAGCGCAGATCTGCTGGAAGAGGCTGAGGGGGCTGCAGACACCGACGAGATGCAGCACCGATACACAAAACAAATTTTAAATGCCATTAGACCCAAGCTAGGAAAGGTCAGAGGGGAGGAGGCCAGACATGGAGCCTACGTGGTGCTTCTTGGGCAGAGCATCAAGCGCTGCTTGCAGCTAGGCAATATGCAGATGGCCGCGGGCTTCCTCAAGCTCTGTGACTCACGGTGAGACAGGCTTTGAAGCCTCAAGCCCTGCTTTGAACTCAGCCCTGAGCTCTCAACTTCTGTGGATTTGCTGAGGCAAATGCCTTTCTTTTCTTTTCCTATTGTTGGGCTGTTTCTTGAGTTGCTCCATTTCTGCCGCGCCAGACAAATCAACTTCAGTCATGCGCCTCGCGGCCCCATGGTGAACTTCCGGTATTATTTAGGTCGGCTCTACATGCAGCAAGAGCAATTCGAGCAGGTAAAACCCGTCAATTTAAAACGCTAAGCAATTTATTGTCTGGTTGGAGTTGATAATAGTCATTTGAGAACTTTAGGCTTCACAGGCAGCTTCCCAGGGCCACTGAGTACTGCCCAGATTGCGGTGCTTCTGTCCATCTTTAGGTTTTGCTGCAGTTAGATATAACTATGGCAACTCACATGTTCATGTTCTTCCACCGAAATATTTACCTGTCTGCTTATCGAATAGTCACTGTCAGTGGACCATCTAGAGTGCTGGGTTTGTGTTGCAGTCCGAATCAGAGTTGGTTTGGGCTTTTTCAAACTGTCCGCCCACAAAGATGCGCGTAAGAAGGTGAGTTGTGGCAGGACTTAGCTTAAACTACACATAGCGCCGAGAAAGCCAGGTAGCTTCGTTGACTCAACCAGGTCTGGTGCTGTTTAATAGCCTTTTCCAAGCTAATGAGCTCCGAAGTCATTTCATTTCATCTTCCTGCCCCAGTTCAAATGGTCAAATTAGTCTGTTTGGTCTTTCTTCGTTGCCGCAGAAATATTTTGGAATGTCTCGTCGCGGCGCGGCTGCGCATGGGGAAGCTGCCGAGCGCAGAGTTGCTCAATAAATATCAGTACGTTAACCTATGCACTCATCTGTGTGTGCAGTGCAGCTTGCAATTATTACAATTGTCGCCAATATTTAGTCCCACTTTTCAGGGTTATTTGCTTATCCGTTCATTTTTCAGTCCTTTTGTTTCGTCGAGGTAGCTTTTACCTGCCATAACCGAAGCAACAGTAGGTGTGTTTTCGTTTCTTTCAGGATGCCTCATTACTTGGACATAATTAAGGCGATGAAAAGCGGCAATCTGTCGCTGTTCGACCGAGCACTTGTGCGTTTTTACCTCTGCTGCTGACACAGTGTACTCGGTTACATTGTGGCTGCTGCGTGCACTTGGCGTATTATTCTGTTTCGTCAGAGATGGGGGGGAAAGACTTGAAATAGTTGTACTTATGGTCTAGTTTTCCTCTTTTTTCTTCATTCTTTACGATTTGCAGGAGCAACACGAAAGCGTCTTTATAAAACACGGCACAATTTTGTGCGTGGAGCGGCTTAAGTTCATTGTCTTCCGCACCCTGATGAAACGCATGTAAGAAACGCAAATGAATCAGCAGGAAAGGAAAGAGTGGCAAAATCAAGCGCGAGAAACGCATGCAAAAGAGATAGCACTAGGCAGCAGTCAGAGCTTGCCTTCCCCTGGTAGTTACTGAAATACAAATACAGTTTTTGACTGATTCTGTCTTTTTCTAAGCGTTTCCCCCTTTGATATTTCTCAGTTGTTCCATTAATTTCTTCATATGTTTGTTGTAAATTGCTGCTTTCTGCTGCGGCTTGGCTTGCTCTTCAGGAAGCAGTGGTGGTTGGAGTCTGGCTTGGCATCCAAAGCCAACATTGTCCCGATTCAAGTTTTCACTGCAGCCATAAAGTGGCAGAGTGACGAGCTTTTCGACGACGATGAAGTGGGGAAATAAATAATTGAATGAATTCGCGTATTTGATCAGATCAACTGCTCAATTCTCAGTTAATTTTTTTTCGTTATTTTGTGATTGAAGTAATTCTTGCCAGTAGGAAGCTTCAGTCACCCCAGCTAGCAAGCAGCATGATTTGAATAAATAGTGATTTGGTAATTTTCCTTCATTTTCTGTTTACAGAAAAGCCCCCTTAACACCTTAGTAGCATTTTGCTTTTTATTAATTGTTCTTTCTGCCGTGTGCGCGTTGCCTTCTTTTGCACTGTCTGCAGATGGCTTGCATCAGCGCGAACCTGATTAGAATGGGATACATAAAAGTCCGTCCGGCATTTTTCTTTTTTTATTTTTTGCAGTTTTGTGTTATTATTTGCCAGTTGTGTCTACTTTGCATGCGGCGTTGCCCGCGTGCTTTTGCTGCACTACTTGCGGGTTTGCCATTCATGAACTTCGCTGCTGCAGGGTTACATCTCGTGGGAGCACATGGTGATCGTTTTCAGCAACCAAGAGCCCTTTCCGAGTCTCAAGACATCTCGGGGGGCTTAGAGGGGCTTAGAAAAAGCCAAGATGATAATCTCAGAGCTCTGCTACCACTAGTGTGTGCATGCGTTGGCGTCAGCACTTGCATGCAGCTGCATGCACGGAGGTGCAGGGAAGTGCATGCAAGTGCGGGCAGACGTGTCGATGCACACATTTAGAAAAGTTGTGCAGTTTTTCTGTTGGGTTGTCAGTTTTAAATTGGCAAAGAAAAGGCCACCAAAAAGAGGCACTGATTTGCGCTGTGGTCTGGGCTCATCCCTCGAAGGAAGAAGGGCTGGCAGGCCTCCAGTTTGAACAGAAATGCAGACTCACACAAACGTGCAATTACTTAATTCATTTAGTGGCTGAAATCCATGTTTGTTTCTGCTGCCCCAGCTGCTGGCAACGCGCTTGGCATTCTTGAACTTCTCTTAATTTGTTTTTGCGGAAGTGGAGGCCCAGCGGGCCCTTGAGCTCTTCTCCTTTTTCGCTGCTTTGGCAACAGAACGCGCATGCCTCTCTGGCGCATGCACCATCCCTCTGTTAGTTTGTTTTCAAGGAACTTTCAGTGAAGCAAAGTTCGTTTTAATTAATCAAATTAGCTCAAGTACCTGTTCGCAGTGGCCAAAGCCGGCTCCTTGGGTGTCAGTGCATTCCTCGATGAGTGTGCTCAGGTGTATGTGCAGCTCCTCTGCATGCGTTTGGTTCTGTTTGCATCTCTTCAAGCATTTATATTTTTCAGGAACTTCGAGCAGCAAGGTGCTGTTGCTGCAGCAGTGGCTGCAGAAGTCCTCCGCGCAGCTCTTCGCCTTGTTCAGGTTTCTGCTTTCCATCAGAGAGCATTCGTGTTGCCGCTGCAGCGGGTGGACAGCCTCTACGCAGCTTTTCCTGCGGCGCAATTATGTTTTATGTTTAGTTCAAATCAACTCAAGCAATAGTTGCAACTTTACAAAAAGAAGCAAAGACTCACCAGGGCGCTGCTGCTTCGCTGAGTTTCTTGCGGCTGGCTCGGCGCTTTGCTGCTGCCTGTCGCCGCGCATGAATTCAAAATATATTTTCTTTCAAGCAGCTTCAACGGAGAGGCCAGCAACACCCACCTTGGTCCTCAGCGGCGCCGGCAGGCCCCAGAGAAATTGCTGCTGCTGACTGCTGCTGCTGCTGCTGCTGCTGCTGCTGCTGCTGCTGCGGAATCGGCTGGAGCTGCCTTGTCTTAGCTGCAGGCCTTTTGAAATGGGCGAGCAAGGGGCAGCGTCGAATCGGAAGTTGTCGAAGAGGACTCCTCGTTTGGCGCCGGAGACGAAGAGGCCAGCAGTTCCCGAGAGGAAGCGTTCATCGAAGACGCTGCGCAGTGGAGTTTGAAAGCACTTTTATTTTTGCATTTTCGACTCAAAACTTGAAAAATACTTTAATTTTTTTGAATTTTTTGAATTTTTCAACTCATTGCAGCCACTAAGAATGCCCAATGGCCCACTCACTCCAGCGCTGGACTCCAGTGCTTCTCCCCCGCGCCCACGGCCACCTTTATGCGGCCGTGGTGCAACTCTATGCGCAGGCGGCTCCAGCTGTTCTCGCTGCAGCACTGGGGGCTTTCAGTTTGCTGCAGCAAAAAGGCCTCGCCGTCTTCGACTCTGTGCAGCAGCAGCTGCTGCGGCTCGTTGCTGGCGGACAGCAGCAGCAAGTTCTGCAGGTCTTGCATTCTGAAGGCGACTCCGGCGGTGCCTTTGTCGAAGAGCTGAGCCGAAGACAAGTTCAGTTTTGCAAAGCACCATTTCATTGCCAGTTCTTATTTTTCAACATTTAATTGGCAGTTCTTTTCTTTTTAATTTTAATTTTTTCGTAATTTGAATTTCGTGGTCATCTCACGAGAAAGTCCACGTGAATCACTCCGTCGTAGAAACGGCGCCCCTTCAGGAAAGCAAAAGTTCCTTCCGTGGCCCTCCGCCCCTTCACCGGGGCGGACTGACCAATGGTCTTGGAGTGTTTCTCATTGTTGTATTTTTTATTGTTGTGTGTTTTATTGTTGTGTTTTTTATTGTTTTGTTTTTTATTGTTTTGTTTTTTATTGTTGTCTTCATTTAGCTGCACTTCTGCGTATCCCCAGGAGCTGGGGCCCCCCGTGGCTCTGTAGCTGTCGGCAGTTTCGAACACATCCGAAAAGGCGTCTCGAGTGTAGTTGAGGCTGAAGGACTGAAAGCCTGTTTGGCTCTGTCTCTGCTTCTCCACTTTTCTCAATTTGTGTGTCAGTGCCTCCAGTTCTGCGCCGAGGGCCCCCGAGCTGTTCAGCAGAGCCGTTGCTGCGCCTTCCGCCTGCTGCAGCCTGCAGCAGCAGCAGCAGCAGCAGCAGCAGCAGCAGCAAGGAAAGCTGCATGAAAGCAGCAGCAGCGGCTGTTTCTGCAGCAATAGGACTCACAGGTCGCCCGTTGCGCTCAGCACTTGCTGCTGCAGCAGCGCTGCAGGCATCAGGGCCTCTTCCAGCGCTGCAGTGGCCTCTGCTGCTGCTGTCTGCGCCGCAAACACGTTTGTGGGGTCTAGGCCGTGGACTTCGTCTGCAGCAGCAAGAAACAGCCGCAAGATGCATGCACGCATGCAAAACAGTGGGATCGGGAAACAGACTGAGACCCAGGAAAAGCCACCAACCCACCTAAGGCCCCCAGCACGTCGTTGATCACAGCAGCCATCATGGGGTCTATCATCACATCTTCAGCTTTTTCGTTCGGAGTTTCCGAGACAGAAGCACCGGCGGTGGTCGAGACTGCGAGCTCGATGAAGGAACTCGACAAAGTCGAAAGACTCTCGATGGGGCAGTCCTGCGGAGCCGGCATGTAGGCCATGGTCAAATAATCAAATAATCAAATAATCAAATTTGGTAATGTTAAACTTTAGTTCAATTAAAGTATTTTTCGCGCATTCGACATATAATAAATACAGAACTTTCAATTTTTTCAAATTCAAGTTGCATGCAGGGTGGGCTTGGCCCAAGCAAATTCTTACCTTGGCAACTGGCACAATTCGAACGCTGCGCGTCACTCGCCCCCTGCGTTTGCTGGGCAGGCCGCCTCCGTTTTGCTGCTGCTGCTGCTGCTGCTGCTGCTGCTGCAGGTCTGTCTTGAGCTCATTAGTGAGTTGAATGGTGTTGGGGGTATTCAGGGCCTCCGACTTGACTCCGTTGCTTGTAGAGCCCTCGTAGAAGGGCAAGCTGCTCTCCAAAGAAACACTGGCCAGGCCGCCCTTGCTGGCCTTAAGGACTCCGGCGTGGACTGCGGCTTTGCAAATGGCGCTCAAGTCCGAGTAGAGGCCGTTGGTGCCGAAGACTGGCAAAGAGCTGGCCTCGCTGCAGCCGGGCGGGCACTCCACCACGATGTTGGTCTGCAGATTCGGGAAAGAAGATGCAAATGCAAATGTTTCTGCATTTCCGAAAAGAAATTCAAGTTCAGCTCACGTTGGTTATTCCGAAAAACGCCGGGTGAGAAGCGGCAGACGCCTCGCAGCCGATGTCGATGTGTGGCCTGAGGCGCAAAGTGCAGCAAGTTGAATTTCAAGTTTCATTGAATGCACCACTTCATTTCATTTCCTGCGGGAACCTTACACTGCATGCATTACTTTGCTGCATGCAGCATTCAATCCCTGCATGCGCTGTGCTCTGCATGCATTGTGTGCTTGCACAGCAGCTGCTCACAGCGCGACTTGGCCTTCCCCCGCATTTGTCGAGCAGACAATAACTCCCACATTTGCGGTCTCGATGTCGAAGTAAGTGGGCTCGGCTCCAGGGAGCCTCAGGCCTGCACGGACGGAGTGTTGTTACAGGGGTGTTGGGAAACATGCAAAGTAATTGAGTGAGTCAATAAGATTTTCTGTATCCATTATCGTAGTTATTGAGTAATCACCGGCTGTAGGCAATGCCTTTGGATTCGCCTTCGAACTTGTAGAGCCCTCAAGCAGCAAAGAAGTCAAGTCCGTCGTGCCCGAGAAGAGGTCCTAAATCGATTTCGAACATGACAAAAGTCTCACAGCGTCCTACTGTTTATTCCTATTCTGTTTAGCAGTGATAATTGCAGTTATTGGCAGTACTGTTTTCACTTTGTTCAGCACTTTATCACATTAGAAGTCAATTCAGTGACTGGCTTTTTCTACCTTGTAGGCGCCCGTGCACTTCCCCTCCAAGCAGCCCATATCGTGGGCCAGCGGCAGCACTGCGTTTTCGACTTCGTCAAGTCCTGAGAGTTCGCAAGTTTGTTTGTTTCCTGAAATCTGGTGGACTCAATTGGCTTGCCGATTTGCTTCAGAGCCAGCTGCAGCGCCCGGAGGTGGCCAGCGGACTGCAGCACGAAGGGCTCCAAGCCCTTCTCCGCACACCGCAGACGCAGAGAAGTCAGCGAATGCACTTTGGGAACATTTGTGTTTTCGTCTCCAACTCCGAGTTTGACGAAAAGCAGCGAAGTGGCGCTTTCCATGGCGCAGTACACCCGCAGCGGATGCGGCGCGCAGCGGGGCAGGATCCTGCATGCCCCCGGCAATTATCGATTGTTTTCTTTTATTTTATTTATCGATTATTTTCTTTTTATTTATTCCTTTGGCTTTTCTCACCAGTAAAACCCCGAGGGGGCCTCGGGGCTGGCGGCCTTCGCAGCGAAACAGTCTTCAGCGGGGTAGTTCGGGGAGTCGCCTGCAAGAAACGCGTGTGAGCAGCAGCAGGAGGTGGGCGCGCAGCGCTGCTGCTGCTGCTGCTGCTGCTGCTGCTGCTGCTGCTGCTGCTGCTGCTGCTGCTGCTGCTGCTGCTACTGGGGGCTGTTGCTGCTGTCACCTGGTAAATAGCCGAGCTCCCGCTCGTCCCGGCCCTGGCTCTCGGAGGAAAGCTTGAGGAGTTCGCCCTGGAGAGTGGCGGCGGTGGCTGCGAGCGCCTGCGTTTGCGTTTTGAGTTTTTCTTTTTCTGCGACGCAGCTCTTGGCCTTGTCGAGGCTGTCGACTGCGAGTTTCGTCTTCTTGCTGAGCGCGCGGGAGCGCCGCAGCACGTCTTCCTCGAGCGAGTCCATCTTGGCCGCGATCTCGGAGTCGAATTCATGAACTGGCAGCAGAAAGTACTTGTCTCGCGCGTCTTCGGAGTTTGCTGCCTCTTTGCAGTCCCCCACGGCGGAGTCCAGCCGGCTCGCGAGGGCGTAGACCTCTCGAAGGCCGTACACGTACTGGTCCCCCACTTTGCCGTTGGTGGTGTGCGGGTGGGTCATCAGAATGCGCACGTGCTGGACCACTGGTCCAGGGAGAGTGTCCAGAGTGAGGTTCGCGGGGTTGGCGGCGTTTTCAGCTGCGTCCCTGAGCGGGCCGCGGCTGAGGTGTACAGACACCGCAGCGGCAGCAGCAGACCTACGTGAAGCTCTTCCCGTCCGCACTGACTTGCACTTTGTAGGCCATGGGGGGGTATTCCCAGTCGAGGCGCAGCGCGGCGAGCCGTGCGCTCTTTCCTGAATTGGCGCGGCGTGAGCGGCGCCTCGAGGCCCCTTGAGGACTTCTCCGAATTCAAGTTTTTCGGAAACTCACCGAGGTCGATGTCGAAGGCCACGGGGTGCTCCTCGGCGTCCGGAAAGGCCCCAGAAGCCCAGAAAGTGGCCACGTCTCGGTCGAGAGCCATTGCGGGGCTGTGGGCCGCGCCCGCGGAGCTGCCGCTGCGAGCTGCGGCCCCGAAGGCCACGGCGATGTCCCCAGTGCCCGGCTCTGTGCCGTGGCTGTTCTGCTGCGTCAGGCAGTAGAAGCCGGCGCGGTCCAGCCGGAGTTGGGAGTTGGGCTCGGGGGTCCAGGTGGAGCGGCCGTCGCCTTCTTCGAGGGCCGCGAGGCAGTTTCCGAGGACCACTGCGCCTCCGCCTGCAAGCCGCATGCAGGGAGTTGTGGGGTTTGAGTTTTTGCAGATTTGGAAAAAAAATGAAGACAAACGGAGACAGCCGCATGCAGGGAGTTGTGGGGTTTGAGTTTTTGCAAAATTTGGAAAAAAAATGAAGAGAAACGGAGACAGCCGCATGCAGGGAGTTGTGGGGTTTGAGTTTTTGCAAGATTTGGAAAAAAATGAAGAGAAATGGAGACAGCCGCATGCAGGGAGTTGTGGGGTTTGAGTTTTTGCAAAATTTGGAAAAAAAATGAAGAGAAATGGAGACAGCCGCATGCAGTGAGTTGTGGAGTTTGAGATTTTGCAAAATTT